TGGGAATTTTGGGGGGAAATTCAGAAATTTTGTGGAAAATTTCAGGAATTGGGGTGGAATTTTGGGGTGGAATTTTGAGGGGAATTTGTGGAAAATTTCAGGAATTTTAGGGGGGAATTTTGGGGAAATTTGGGTGGAATTTTGGGGCATTTTGGGGGGGAACTTCGTGGGGATTTTGGGAGGTAATTCCAGGAATTTGGGTGGAATTCTTGGGTGGAATTTTGGGGCATTTTTGGGTGGAATTTGGTGGGAAAATTGTGGAAAATTTCAGGAATTTTGGGGATAATTCCAGGAATTTGGGTGGAATTTTGGGTGGAATTTTAGGGAATTTTTGGTTGGGATTTGGGTGGAATTTGGTGGGAAAATGTTGAGGAATCCCAGGAATTTTGGATGGGATTTGGTGGGAAATTCGTGGGAAACTTCAGGAATTTTGGGGGGAATTTCAGGAATTTGGGTGGAATTTTGGGGAATATTTGGGTGGGATTGGGATGGGATTTGGGTGGAATTTGGTGGGAATTTTGGTGGGGAATTTCAGGAATTCTGGGAGAAAATTTGTGAAAATTTTGGGGGTAATTCCAGGAATTTGGATGGAATTTTTGGGTGGAATGTTGAAGGGAATTTGTGAGAAACTTCAGGAATTCTGGCTGGAATTTGGTGGGAAATTTGTGGGAAATTTCAGGAATTTTGGGGGAAATTTCAGGAATTTTGGTGGAATTTTTGGGTGGAATTTTGGGGCATTTTTGGGTGGGATTTGGTGGGAAATTCGTGGGAAGCTTCAGGAATTTTGGGGGGAATTTCAGGAATTTTGCTGGAATTTGGGGGAATTTTTGGGTGGGACTTGGGTGGAATTTGGTCGGGAAATTCAGGAATTCTGGGTGGAATTAGGTGGGAAATTTGTGGGAATTTCAGGAATTGTGGGTGGAATTTTGTGAGAATTTGGAGTGGAATTTCAGGAATTTTGGGGGAAATTTCAGGAATTCTGGCTGGAATTTTGTGAGAATTTTGTGGGGAATTTCAGGAATTTTGGTGGAATTTTTAGCTGGAATTTTGGGGAGTTTTTGGGTGGAATTTGGTGGGAATTTTGGGGGGAATTTCAGGAATTCTGGGTGGAATTAGGTGGGAAATTTGTGGGAATTTCAGGAATTGTGGCTGGAATTTTGTGAGAATTTGGAGTGGAACTTCAGGAATTTTGGGGGGAGTTTCAGGAATTTTGGTGGAATTTTTGGGTGGAATTTTGGGGAGTTTTTGGGTGGAATTTGATGGGAAATTTGTGGGAATTTCAGGAATTCTGGCTGGAATTTTGTGGGAATTTTGTGTGGAATTCCAGGAATTTTGTGTGGAATTTCAGGTTGGGACTCCCAGGCTTGTGTCTCTCACCTTTTCCCAGCATGCCCCGGGCCCGGGGGGTCCCTGTGGCCACTTCCGGGACCCCCAGGCCGGGCCCTTTTGGGGCCCCCCCGGTGCCAGCCGGGCCCGCTGCGGAACGGAGCCCGGAACGCGGCCGGGAACGGATCCGCCAACGGCGCCGGGAACGGATCCGGATCCGCAGAGCCCGATGCCAGGATTTCCGACCAACCCCTGCAAAAACGGCCACGGTCAAGGGATGGGG